ATCCACCCCCCCCCCCCCCCGCACATGTGTGCACATTTAAATATGGAGATATCTGAAGCACATGTCTGCAGAGAACAAAATAAAACTCAGCCATTGCAGCTGATCGTGTGTGATGCCCCAATGCCAACTAAGTGATCACTGTACTAACTTCGAACTTACAACCCCAGTTATACCAACAGACTTTATTAAATTGTGAGGTCCTTGGAGCATATGTCTAAAGGGTGACAAAAGCTAGGCTATGTGACTCATATTAATGACGTTTAAGATACAAATGGTAGTACACTAACTTCGCATGTAAAACGGCATGCACAATACGAAGCTTATATCTTGCAGTAAATACACTGCGTTCATCCGGGTTATAAGATACACTTTTCTCTCCAGTATTTTAAAGCAAAAGTTGGGGGTGCATCTTATAATCCTGTTAGGTGCATGTGTCTGTGAACAGTTTTGTATAACTCTACTGACAAGCTTCGGGTGAGTCTTCCTTTCTGGAATATCTTATAATCCCGAAAATGTTTTCTTCAAGGTTTAAGGGGCATTAATGAAATTAGGCAAAACAAATCTCCACTTTAACACGATTCATAGAAATGTTGTATGAAGTTACTGCCTGGCTGTACAATAAGATTCCGAGGAAGGGCAGCCCCTTGTCTTAACCGAAGGAGAATAAATGTGTCAGCAACTAAAATGAGACTGGCTAAAGGACAGCAATTTATACGTTTGAGCTCGCGTGAAAAAAAAAGTAAAACGAAGAAGCTGCCTCACGAATTCATGAATAATTAACGTGTGGTATTAATGAATTAATGAGCACATGCATAAATTAGTAAAATAATGAGTGCGTACACTTTTTTTGTCACTTGTCACGGACTCTTATTCGTTGCTAAATATTCTGGGCACGACAAGAGAGTTTGTGATGCCAGCGTGGACGTTAAAAGTTACTGATCTAAATCTATTTTTACGTAAATGCTGTTTCAGATTGCTTTGGTACTTTACCATGAATCACATACCATCCAATTAAACACCGCAAACTCTCATTGTTTCTGAAATAGTAAAATGCCACTCATGAGCCTTCGTTATATTCAGAGTTAAATAATAATGTGAGTTATCGTTTGATCGTGCGCCAGTTTTATCTTGCTCATTCCATGCCACTGGGGATAAAGCAGCATGGCATTCTGATGCATAAGTCTGCAGAACTCGCTAATTTGTCATTAATTAACCTTTAATAAAAAAAATATCACTTTTCCGTCCCTTTGACTAATATGCTGCTCCGTAAAGGCATTTGCATGCCGTGCCGGTGGTGGGGTCGTTTGACAATGCTTCACCAAACTTGGCCAGCGCACGTCGGTGAGGGGAAAGAACAGGATTGGTTCAGATATTTTCTTGCCACTGATGCGAGCCTTGGCCAGGAATGGAACCCTGGGTTCACCGCACAGTGCAGGGACCACTGCGGCAGCAATTAATTAATTTACGTAGTTGCTTTAAGTCGCTGTATTTGAAAGTTGTAACAACAATGCAGTGGACATGTTATTATAAGGCTCAAATTGAAGATATGAGCACCAATAGGAACAGGTGAAAATTAAACACACATCGACAATGTTAACTTATCTTATGGTCCTTTACCGCAGCCTGCGGAACTCAATTCTCGTACCCATCTGGTCCCCAGGAATCTATATTTGCGCATGAGCTCAGCCTGACTGACCTCTGGACCCCCGAGGTCACCACTTGACCCAAGCAACGTGGACGGTGGGCACCAGTGGGTAACGTCACAAGGTCAACGTGGAAGTAAGACAAGCTTGGCTGTGATGTCACAACACTTCGTCAAATTCCCAGCCATGTCTTTGTTAAAAATACAAACTAAAACTTTTTTCTAATTTTAACCAGGTAAGGCCCACTGAGCTATTTAGTTCTTTTATCATAAGTCATCTGGCTATCACAAATGACAGCTCAACAATGTGGCTTATCATGTGGAATTTTATCGCATCCAAAAACACTCTGAACGCATGTTGATTTTAAATGTGGACGGAAAAACTGGAGAACCCGGAGAAAAATCCCCATGATCACGGGGAGAACATGCCAACTCCAAATATACAACAGTATACCAGGCAAGGTAGTTAACATCTCGCCACGTAACATGGCCTAACCAAATAAACACCTATAAAATGCCTAAAAACCTGCCTTCCTGACCCAAAGTATCAGGAAGGTGGCTTATAGAGAGGAGCACAAAACATGGGGCACCCAGGTCTGGACACACTGGTACTGCTTCTGGATAAGAACTGGGCTTTTGCTGCTGGGTCATGGGAGCCCAGTTCCCAGTGCTCATGGACACAAACGTTCAGCACATTGGGACCAAATCACATTGTAGCACAATATTTTTTTTCTTGTGATTTTTTTTTTATAAAGCATGTTGATATTTCCATTTCTAACTGCGGGGCACATTTTTAAGGGTGATATTTTTCAACTCTTTCGTCAACAGTGCTAATCTGATCGACGGTTCATTCGTACTTATACATACAGTATATAAAATCATGCCCAGCAAAAAACAAATGACGCGTTTATATTCTCAAGGAAGACCAAAAAAATTATGATATTCTCTTATTGCTTTCTAAAATGTCCTACTCTATAGGATTACTCGTGCACCAGAAAAAGGAGACATACCCATAGAGTATAATGCACACACGCAAATATGCATGTCCTCGAGTGAAATTTAAACAAGATTCAAATAACGAGTTTCGCAATGTTTCATTGGGAGTTAAGATCCCCTGCGATAACATCCCCTTTAACCACGTTACCTATGACGCTGGACCGGTGTGCCAGACAGACAGGCGGGCACGTAAGCCTGCCCGCGTTGCCGAGACCACGGGCGATCAAGACACAATGAAATTTAGCCTTCAGGAATTCGCCTGGAGTCTGCCATTTGAGCTCCACCAAATTCAGTCTCTGCATCCCACCGTTTTCTTCCCCTTCACATCCCCACCGCACGCCAGCCGGGCTGGCACACCCTCGACCAAAAACTGTCTGCAACATCAGAGCGAACCTGACAGCAACTAAAAGTAAATAAATAAACAACCCCCAACCGGCGACAGAAGCCAGGCTGCAGAGTTAAGGTCAAGCCAATGAAGGTAAAGAATTTAATGTGGGTTCTTCCCGGTGTTTGGGAACATTGCTTGTGAATACAAATGTGCAGTCCCAACAAAAAAAAAAAGAACGGAAGCCTTGCGATGTAATCACACTAAACACTTTACTGAATTATCAGGTACACAGGGACCTCTGAAAATATATTTTTTTAATGGCCAAAACATTTTACTTTTTTCTCTCGCTTCTTTGGATGTAGATGCCAAAAATCCATTATACATTCTGCAAAGAAACCCCCAAGAGGAAAAGGTCACTGCAGGATCAATGCCTGGTTCATGTCCAAGGGCCTCATTACAGATTCAGCCTGACCACATTGTTTAAAGCAAAATGGGTGCCCTTGCCTGTCATAAATGGCGCCCTGTTTGAAAAACGATGTATCTCATTAAAACATGTACTTCGTAATTCAAGTTGATTTTGCACTTAAAACCTGAAGGTGTGAATGCTTTTTTTCCCCCAGCGTATTTTTCCCCGCCTAGTTCATTCGAGTCTCGAGTCCGAGAGTGGGGTTTTTTTTTCTTTAAATTCGACAACTGTAAGTATAACTTCTCAGTATAAACACACGCCAGCCGTAAGGTGACAGCCCCCCTCCCCGCCACCCCCAGGCTATGAAATATAATAAGCAAAACAGCGCGGTGATTATTTAACTTCTCCAGTTTTAAGACTGGAATGCGACAGGGTTGAATCAGGGAAGGGAGAGCAAACGTGGGAGAAGAATTACAACAACAACGAAACAAGCCGAGGAATTTCAGTGGAAATATAAGGGCAGAGAAACACAGTACTCGGATTTGCTCTCCAACACACCGGTGTGCTGTACTAGTGATGAATTGGCACGTTCTGTTTACGTGACAAACCTTACTAATTGGCTGCGTCGGGTGGTGGCGGGTTTAACAACACATTTATATTCACGCGACCTAACCCAAACACCTATATTATGGACTGTACTTATATTTTACATATACTGTATAGGGACTTCTATACTTGCGAACGAGTTAGGTTGCAGAGGTCTGTTTTTAAGTCAATTTGTTCGTAAGTCCAACTTTACTCCTGTCCATTCTAAACACGTTGTACGGCATGCAAACTACTACTATACATTACACACAAGTATACTACATTATACACTACTACATTACATGATATACCGCTATATACTACATTATATACCGCTATATACTACATTATATACTACTACACTACAGTACAGGGACTCCTCTATATACTAACGAGATAGGTTCCAGAGGTCTGTTTGTAAGTCGATTTGATCGCAAGTCCAACTTTACTCCTGTCCATTCCAAACATGTTGTACGGCATGTGACACTGAACACGGGGAACAGTTTTAAAAGTTGCATAATCTCCTGCAGATGTAGTTGCCACTGGTTCATCATGTTCTGCAGATGTAGATGCCACCACCGCCGTCTATTGCACCGGCGGTTGAACTTTATGGCTTTCGGTCTGAACAGGCAACTGGACATACAAACAGGTTTGTTCGTATCTCTAAAAGTTTGTAAGTCGAATGTCCGTAAGTAGACGAGTCCCTGTGCATGAACGCGATACGAAAAGACTAACAAGTGCCCAAACAATTTCATGTCGAAAAAAAATAATTATTGAGATTTAATTAAAGAAATTCACATCAAAGTTTTTGAGAGAAAAAAAAAAAAACGCCAAATCAATCGGTAACGGAATGCAAACAAAACCCGCTCCTATGTTGCCAGCATAATAGCCGCTAAAAGCATTACAATGCATTGCATACATCTACACACACACAGGAGTCTGTACGTGGCAGGATCGATTTAAACTCAGGTGGGCACGCCGTGTCTCCGACATTGTGTGACGTGTTCCAAAATGCGGTGTAACTAAAAAGTGCTCTTTTTTACCTGGCGTGTGCCATCTGCTGCCGTTGATTGCTGCTGCCGCTGCTGCGGTGTGGCCAAAGCGCCTTGGCGTTGCCGAGTCCTGGTTGAACCCTGAGCGAGGGGCCTCCTCGCGAGTTTGGGGCTTGGCTTCCTTTGGAAGTTCTGGCCAAAAAAAAAACATAGCGCGCAAAACGCTCGCTCGCTCACTCGCACGCCGCACGGCATGCGCAGACCCACGGGTCGGCGCCTATCCATAGCCAGCGCACTGTACCCCTGCGTACAGTTGCACGCAGAACAATATGGCTCTGTAGTTCAATGGTGATGATGATAGAAAAAAAAACCCACCACAAGTAGTCTTTTACCCTCCCCACCCCACCTCTCTTAGCAGGTAGGTGTGGCCACTGTCCCGTTTCAAAGTGTATTAAAATCCCAATTCTCTCACCCCACCCGTGTACCTACCACACTCCCCCCTTTACTCATTGACCAACCCCACCAGCCAACAATGTTCTCTCCCCCCCCTCTCCACCCGAACCCTAACAGCCCTCCTCCTCTTCCCGTCCCACCGACAACCGCCCCCCACTCCGCACCACCCCCCCATGTCAACTTGGAAAAGGGGTCGTCGCTCAAGGGAGGGGGAGAGTTACTGTATTCACAGCCGGGCCACGCAGTGAAAACCTAAACTTTCACTCTTACTCGTGTTGTGTCTCCCTCGTCCGGAACACTTTACTAATAATGTACATTTTATGGTTTGTGGGGGGGGGAGGGGGGTTGTTTTGTTTCTTTCTCCGTTTCCAATTGTTTTGAATATTTAGAGCGCAATAAAAGGAATAATAAATGGACACGTTGCTGATATATCACGGAACAACAACGGGCCGTGTGGTCTGTGTCCATATGCTTTCCTTTAAAATATTAATGCAGGCATGGACAAAAAAAATGCTTAGTGGTGAAAGGTTACAGTGTCAACATTCTGTGTAGTAACAAAAAAAATAAACTCTGGGGTGTTTAATACTGGACATGGCTTCAAACGACAGTGCCAAAACTCCCAAGTTCATGGTGCCCATTGTTCGTGAACATGAACTAGGCCTCAAAAAAGCACTTGAAATGTTCACGATGTTTTGAGCTTCTGAAATCTTTTCTGAAACACATTACATGCTCTCGGGCTCTCGGAAAGAGACAATGGGGAACACCTTTAGGTGTGAAATATATTTCTTACAACTTTGGTTGAAAAAAAATAATAATCTGTTGAATCCCCTCCCCCCGATTGCCACACACCACGTATCAATCCAACCCATTGGAATATGCCTCACAATTATGATCAAAGCATACTGGAACCACTTGGATCATCAAATCGTTTGAGTCACGATCACGACCCTTTGTACTGTGGATATAAACATCATTCAATAATCTTCGCACCTTTGTAAATCCGTTGCTGGATGAAGACCCCCCTGCGCTGTCTGTCTGTCTGCAGCGATAGTGTAGCGGTTAGCGCGCTGCGCTATGAACCTAGCGACCCGGGTTCGATTCCCGCTCACAGCTAACACCAGTGACGATTATCTGAACCGGTCCTGGGCCTCCCCTAGGTCAACTCAGCCTCAAATGAGTACCTGGTGCGGTGTGTAAACATCGCCACTGGGGAGACAAAGGCGGTCGGGCGTGGTGCTGGCCACCCACCCCCTCGTGTACCGTTCCGGCCTTCATAGGTGCTCGCTAACAGCACTTGCCCTTACAGTCTGTTAAGGCTATATGGGGGATCTTTGTGATACGAATGGACGCCAAAAGAGCTTCACCATTAGCTTTGCACAGTTATTTGTCCGTGTTGTTAACTTGACGGTTCTAACTGCACATGCTGGAATAATTCCAAACCAAAATAAATATTCCAACCCTACACACAAAAAGGAAGGAAACACCGCTTACGAATTTATCTTCCAAAATGGAGACCTCAGTGGTGTATTTGGGCAAAATCCATAGCACTTGAGAAAAAAAAAAGTACAATCTTACTACATTGTGCCTGCAGTGACCTCATGTTCCAAAGCCATGTTTGCTTTAGTTTTTAAAAAACCGTGCCCTGTATTTACCAGAACGTCGCTTTGTGTTACTGTTCGCCAGAACGTTTTAAAGTAAGTGCTTTAAATGTCAGTAAACTACCTCTTTCATTTCCGAACATTTACCGATGGCCTAAATATTAACGGACGTAAGTATGACAATCCTACTTCTTGGAAATTTCACGGAAACACATACACATGCAAGGTATATTTATTTTGAAAATAGCCTTCATAACACAAAACCAACATGTGGCACATCTACGCCGAAGCCTGGACGACAAATAATTATCAAATCAGCCAATGAAGCATTGCAGACAGTCACACGCGCTGACACCTATAAAACGTGAACAATGTACACGTCGCGTGACAACTCAGCCACAACATCCACAGGCTCAAAGGGCAGCCAGCGTATTGATCAGGCACGGTCCTTTCACACTTTTACACCTACAAGTGTTTCCTACGCATTTGGTGAGAAAAACGGGAGTTGTGAAAGAGAAACAAACTCCCCCCCTCACCCTCTCTCTCTAACTCCCCCACCACCACCACCACGCTGTAATTCACACAGGTCCCACCTCTGCCGGGACGAAGTCTCACTTAACACTTTGCACGTGCTGGCCCTGTGCCGTAGCCCGGAATGAGTTCTCCAGAGGGGAGCTCAGAGCAAAAGGGGGGCACACGCCAGTGGCGAGGCGAGGGGTGGCGGTGGCGGGGGGGGGGATACGGTACACGAGCCGGAGAGCTCTTCCACGCCGCAAAATATTCGACCATCAATCATCAACCTTTTTTTCCCGTCCTCCCCACTGTCGCTGACCCTGCACCCGAGGGCAGACTTGCAGCACTGTACCGCGGCCTTGATGGGGGTGAATTTGACCGGCGCAAGGGAAACTTAAGAATCAGAATATTTCTTTATGACTGGAGGAATCCGATGAGCTATGAAGCTTTTAAAAAAAAACAGATGTCAAGGAACGGGCGGGTAAGAACATTGCAACAAACCAATACTAAAACGTAGGATGAGGTCTCAAACGTTGCCAATTTTTTTTGTTACTTACCAATTATTATATGAATGGGAATTAGTCACAACTAATGGGAATACGTATTTGATGCTGATGACTGGGATGCCGTGTGGTAGGCTGCTGCTGAGAGGGACCATCACTGTTGCCTAGTGACACTCCTAATGCGTCAATTATGACCTAATTTTATAAATGTAAATCGCAAACGCGTTTTGCACGCATTTCATCGCATTCTATTTGTGCAAGATGCAACCATCATGTGCGGTGAGCTGCATACCACGCGAGTATTAAAAATTACCGTTGCAAGCTGAAGCGTGGTCCAACATTACAATTTCAGCAATACTTTCAGGTTATTTAAATTGTTCCAGAATAACAATAAATAAATAAAAAACAATGCATTTTCTTTCTTTTTAAAATATCACGCGACGGCATGAAACACAAAGCACACAAAGCGCTACGGACACCGTGCACCGGCGCACACACGCGGCGAGACGGTTATACTCTGTGGCTAATGGCGATAAAAGATTATGCCGATGTCATCATTTTTTACAAACTGAAGTACACCGGAGTGCAGTGATCGAAAGTAGACCATCTCCAATTACTCCTTCAAGCTCGTGCCGCGTTTACACTTGTCCTGAATCGGTATCATTGTCAATGCATAATAGATGTGTAACACTCATAGATTTTTGGATTTTAAATGTCCTGGTGTCACGTTTACAGTTCCATATGCCGGATATGACTGTTTTGAAGGAGGTGGTGGTGGTGGTGTAATGTTTCCACAGCTGAATGTGGAAATTATTCCAGCAACTGGGCTTTTTTTTTTGCAACAGGGCAATGACAGAAGATGGCATCTGTGTGTGTGTGGGAATAACGTGACCCTTAACCTTTAACTCACATTCCGTATACAGTAAGCGAGGCACACAGAGACGTTCCTTGTTTCCTGAAGAGGGAACATCAGAATAGATGCTGTTTTCGTGGAAAAGGGACGCACATAGATGTCACCGCCGCTATGGCAATGAAGCGGTTTTGTATATTGGGTGCACCTGTTCACAAATGTGAAAGCTGTGCACTATATTTAATGGCTAGAGTATTGCATACAAACTTTGCGAAGTCACTTTTTTTTAAACCTGCCACGGTTGAAGCTTTGATTTGAAACCTAATCCAATTTTTCCATTCTAATGCAGCAGGCAAATCACCACAAATTGCACCGCTCATTTAACCCATCTTCCCCCACTTAGACACGTTAAAGATCCCTCGCCTCTTGAGAAGAACAGACCATTCATGGCTGAGTTAACCACCTGCTTATTAAAGCAATTTTCCCACAGAACAAAATCGCCTTCCTTCTATGCTAAAAAGAAAAAAATTGGAGGACGATTTATAAACCGGTTTAACAGATATTTTGAAACGGAATCTTTTACAGTAGAATTGTACGTGTCTGTTAGAAGCTCAACTTCATAATTAGTTATTATTTTTCCCGTGTTAGTCGTAAAATAAAATACTTCACAGCCTGATTTTTCCCATGAGCCTGTGCTTCTCTTATGAAATGTAAACCGCTGGGGTGGCAAAACTGCCTCGTGCATAAAATTAAAACTAATTTCGAGTTGAAAGAAATAAAGTAAGCCATCTCAGATTATGCCCCCTTTATCTTATATTTATAAGTCTACCTATTCATTTCAATATTTATAACATTATCATTGGATTACAGTTAGGCGTATCACAGCCTGCTAGAAGGAATGCACGAAGTACATTTTTTGTTTAATTTCACATTTTCTTGGAAGGAATCATTCCCTTAGGGAAATGTTCGACAAAAAAAAAGAAACATATAAGCAGAATGTTGTTTTTATTCTTCTGAGAAATCCAACGCATTTAATTCTCTCATTTTTCATCGTAGCATTCTCACTAATTTAGTTACAATGTAATGAGTTGGGACATAAGGGGCTCCCACCCCCTCTCTCTCTATCCACAACCGTAAAGAGAACGAGTGTTTTATCTACTGTGAAAGTGGCTCCAATTGACAGCCCTGGTCAGACTTTAGAAACGCGACACACGCGTCAAAGAAAGGGCGTTAAACAATGCTTGTAATCTGCCTTTTCTTGTGCTAATCAAACTG